GCATTGAGACGCAAGCCATCCAATGTCATTTGAACAAACCAAAGAGCTTGAAGTAGCAGACAGTCCTGAAATTCCTTCCTTTAAAGCCATTCCTTTGCATGATGTTTTTATACTCAACTGGAAACTACCTAAATATTACCTGAAAGAGGATTAAAAAGCAACATGGATTCATTCATCAACCACCTAAGATTACGGACTCTCCGGGGAAGACTTCCGGTCAGCACAATCTCAGACTCTCTTACGTGGCCTTTGTTTTCTTCATATCTGAGCCAAAGGGATCATACTGGACGTGGCATTGCATGATTACATTGTCTTTTTTGTATTTTACATTTCTTAGAAATAGTGCGAACTCTTATTTCTGCCGTTAGAATAAAAGTCACTGAGTGCCATCCGTGACTTGCCTTCCGTGTTTGCCATCGACCAGAGGCATAGCAGGCACGTGGTAATATTCAGGAATTTTTTTAAGAAATAATGGCTGAAGAGTGTAATTAACAAATGAGTGCATTCTCCTGTCTTAAAGGGGACCGACCACTCGATAGCAAGTAGGGCTTCATATTAATATTAAGCAGAGTTTTCTATACGAATGACATTGTCACAGAACTTTTTCTTCCCTAAATGAGACACTTTGGGATGAGTGACCCACTAAAACACAGTATGTGAAGGAAGCTAAGTTTCATCTTCCTAAGAGTTCAGGGAAGTGGCACAGCAGCACCCAGATATTTTTGTTACCTGGCCTCAGGACACTTCTTTTATTTTCTGAACTGACTCATTCATTGCCAGAAAGAAAGTAACAGAATATCTTTTTTCTTTTGAGACCTGAATTTGAGGGAAGGGGTAGTTGTCCCATTGAATTCATTTCTTGGAATATTAAGTAGGAGTCAACTTTCAGTTTTTTTGTTAAATAAGGAAGGAGTCAAGAGAATGAGAAAACAGGTCACAGTCTGGAAGAGAATATTTTCAAAAGACACAACTGATAGAGGACTGTTATCTGAAATATACAAAGAACTCTTAAAACTCAACTACAAGAAAACAAACAATCTGATTAAAACATGGGCCAAAGACCTTAAGAGACACCTCACCAAAGAAGAAATACAGGTGGTAAATAAGCATATGAAAGATGCTCCATAGTATATGTCATCAGGGAAACACAAATTAAAATGATGCTGAGATAACACCTGTTAGAATGGCCAAATTCTAGAACACTGACAACACCAAATGCTGGTGAGGATGTGGAGCAACAGGAACTCTCATTCATTGCTGGTAAGAGTGAAAAATGGTACAGCCACTTTGGAGGACAGTTTTGGGTGGTTTCTTACAAAAACAAACTTTTTCTTATAATATGACCTAGCAATCACACTCCCTGATATTTACTCAAAGGAGTTGAAAACTTAGGGCCACCCAAAAACCTGCACACAGATGTTTGTGGCAACTTTCCTCAAAATTGCCAAAAGTTGGAAGCAACCAAGATGTCCATCAGTAGGTGAATGGATAAATAAATTGAGGTACATCTAGACAATGGAGTATTATTCAGCACTAAAAAGACATGAGGGATCAATCCATGAGAAGATGTGGAGGAAACTTGAGTGCACATTACTAAGTGAAAGAAGCCAATTTGAAAAGGCTACATGCTATGTGATTCCAACTATCTGGCATTCTGGAAAAGACAAAACCTTATGGACACAGTAAAAAAAAAAAAAAAAAATCAGTAGTTTCCAGGGGTTGGAGTACAGGGAGGGGATGAACAGGTGGAGCACAAAGGGTAGTTAGAGCAGTGAAAATACTCTGTATGGTACTATAATGATGAATATTATATCCATGAAGATGATCCATTCACCTACTGATGGACATTATACATTTGTCCAAACCCATGTGAATGTATAATACCAACAGTGAACTCTGGGGTAAAAGTAACCTATGGACTGTGAGTCATGATAACGTGCTAGCGTAAGTCCATCAATCGTAACAAATGTCCCATTCTGGTGGGGATGTTGGGAACGGGGAACACTATGCATGTGTGGGGGCAAGGGGTATATGGGAAATCTCTGCCCTTTCCTCTCAATATTACTATAAACCTAAAACTGCTCTAAAAAAATAACATCTTAAAAAACAAGAACATACAGACAGAAAGGAGAAAGAGACAAAGAACCGGGTTAGCACTTGGACAGAAAAGGCCTTTTCACCAGCCAAGGTGGGGTAGCTTGACCTGGAAAGCCTGCAAATATTAAGTGCAATAAGTGTGCAGTTCACCTGAGAAAATTTAGTCCTGAATTTGGGTGGCACATCATTATCAAGCAATCGGCTTAGTTAGCATAACACCCAGTAATAATAACTAAGATATCTTGAGCACCTATTATGTGCTGGTACTACTTTAAGCAAGTTAAATGCATCGAACTCATTTAATTCTTACAAAACCCAATGAAGTAGAGCCCTTTAGCAAGTCCATTTTTCAGACAAGGGAACCAAGGCACGGTGAAGCTAGGAAACTTCCCAAAGTCACTGTACTAAGAATTGGCAGAGCCTGGACTCAAACCCTGGCAACTGGCTCCGGCTTCCACGCTGCTCCCTTAGCTCACTGCAACTATAATTCTCTGCAAAAGCCAGAAGGGACAATGTCATAACACAGGGCAACAAGAATAGTTGTTTAGGTCTCAGGGAGAGCTGGAGGCTTTACCAGCTTTACCTCATTTAGTCCTCATAACAAATGTATTATTACCCTATGCCACATACAGGAAAATTGAGAATTAGAGAAGCTGGGACTTGCCCAAGGTCACTAGCTGACAAATGACTTTGTCATTCACCAAACCCTAGTGGCCAGACTCCAGAGACCAAGCCATCATTTCCCAAGCCATGCTTCTCTGTTGGAAGCAGTCTATGGTGACTGATGACATGGGGAGAATGTCTACCCATGGTATGACCTCTTTTCCAAAGACCATGTCTGAGAGAAAGGCACTCCTATGTAGCAGAGTGAGCACAGACTTTGAAATCAGACAGACCTTGAGTTGAAATCTCAGCTCCTGAAAATGCTGTGTGACCTACAATACAGCTCTCTGAGCCTGTTGCCTGATGTGTACAAATGGGTAAAAATCATCTAACCACCATGGTGACTAGGAAGGTCAGCTGAGACAGTGTGTAGAAATGCTGGCTGTGGGAGATCTTGCAATTCACTTCCCCAAAAGCACTTAGACACTCGTTTCCTTGGCCACAAAGGAGAATAGGAAGGCCGTCTCTGCTCAGATTGTCTGCTACCCTTCTTGGGCTGAATCATAGCACCTCCTTGGCAAACACTAAAAGCTAAATTGCACAAGCATGCACCAAATCTCCAGATTAGGACCATGTTCCCCTGACTTCCAGCATTGGCCCCAGGAGTCAGCAGGAGTGATGGCCATGCTGATGTTCTGTTAATGAGGTTGCCAGGCACCAGGGTGGCAGAGAAACCAAGGGGGCATGAAATCATTACTGACATTGCCAATCTGGACTAACAGGGACCTAGGGTTTCCGTTAAGAATGCCACAAAACAAATTAATGGAAATGCTTTAATCAGTTGGGGATGATTTGGTTTGGAGTTTGTTTTGGTTTGGGTTTTTTTTGCCCTTTCAAATAAATTTATTGAAACTTAAAGGCACTTAGCAGAATTGTTGGTGTTTAAAAACTCTGAGTAATGGCTTTGATCCTCAAGTGATTTCTTCTTCTATATATAGTCTGTTTTGGTTCCCTAATGGTCATATCTGACATGGTTTAATCATTTTACATGGCCCTTTAGTTCTGCAGGAATACATAAAACAATTTTTTTAAACCCCCAAGAACAATCTTTTTGCATATGTCTTATTTTATATACTAATCTTATTTCTAATGGCTTTACATCAAAGGCAATCTACAGCCCATAGGCTAAGTCTGACCCTCTGTCTTTTTTTGTAAATAAAGTTTTACTGGGACACAGCCATGCCCATTTATTTACACGTTGTCATGGCTGCTTTTGTGCTAGAGAGTCAGAGTTGAATAGTGGTGACAGAGACTATCTGGGCCTTCACAGAAAATCTATGCTAACCCCTGCTATTAAGTAAAACTGGGGACTAGAATGACACAAGGTATTTCACAGCACTTATCACTATAAGTAATTAAATAATTCTTGGTGTTTGTTAATGCCTGTTGGTCCTGCTATATGTAAGTTGTTTGAGAGGTAAGGACTATGTCTGTCTGGTCCAATATTTTCTTAAGACTTATAGTAATTCTCCATAACTATATGTTTGCTAAGCAATCAGTTGCATGGACGTTAAATTTAGAGAATGAGTATGTTTTACAGGACACTTAATGACCAAGACAAACCCTGGTATATATTTTGGTGAACCTCTTCTGCATCATGCTGTTGGCACCCATCTCCCTCTGACTTCACAGAATCTGATGTTCGGCTCTGATGGTACTAGTCTCATCATCATCACCGATTCACAAAGCCGGTCCTCCATCCAGTGGAAGCCATCTGTGCTTTACAGCGTGGTTCCCAGCGGCCTGCAGGGGCTCTGTGGGTGTGCTCGGCCCTGCATTCATCCCCAAGGCACTTGGGCATTCAGCCCACTACCGCCTGTATGCAAGAGAAACCAGGAGCAGATGCCTTGCGATTTTGGAAGGACAAAGAGCGGACCACATGGAGGAGACCTCTGCCATCCCACTTGCAGGATGTATTTGTCATTTAGGTATGGAAGATGGTTAAATATGAAGATGAGAAATCTGACTCTCCAAGAGGCAAATGAGCTTGAGCATCAGGCTGTCCTGAGTAGGAATCTAAGCTCCAGTACTTACTAGCTGTGTAAACATGAGCCAATTAACCAATGTCTCTGAAATAAAAATACCTTCACAAGGAAAAGTGACTATAAAATGATATTGTTTGCAAGGACACTGTGATAAAGTTAAGGTGCCTAACTGTGACAGGGCTACATAGATTTTATACTCTTTTGCCTTCATATTTCAATGCCACAAGGAGAAAGATCTTTGGAATTTCTACTCACCAAGCATTCCTTTCTTGGAGCTGGACAGACACATGTCCTTCTCTGCACTGGGCAGGACAAAACTCACCACGAACACCTCCACCCCGTCAGCCATCAGGGCCAAACCCAAGACAAAGAAGAGGATCCACTGGAAGCGCCCATGGCCGCACTCGTCGATGATGGTCTCGTACTGATGGGCCAGCTGCTCCTCATCTTCCATCCTCTCGGCCATCAGGGCTGCCTGGCCCCGAAGGCCACCTGCCCCGGAGGGTGCCATCTTGGTCTGCTTGGGCTTGACATCATCTGGGTGAGGGATGCCCTGGTACTCGCCCTCATAGATCTCGTCTTCCTCGTCATGGCCTTCTGTGACATCACTCTGTGCATCTTCTTCCGGGTTGGACTCGCTGCCATGGTAGTAGCCATCGCTGGGGACGTGGCCCTCATAGTTGTCCTGATATCTGTAGTCAGCCATTCCTTGGTTCCGGGACTGCCTGGTCGCTTCTCGAGCTATATCCCTCGCACTGTGGTAGATGTTTGGGCTGTTTCGATAACCATCATCCATTATATGTGCAGAGGTTTCAAAGTCAAATATGTTCGTTGTGACTTCCCGGGTGAATGTGACACCTGTATTGTTCCGCTTTGTCTCTCAAATGGAGCAGATCTGTGCAAAGGCACCCTAAATATCCCTTTGCATTCGATGTCTGTTGGAAGTCTTCAGAAAGTTTCAAATTCGGGTCTGGTGTCCTTCAGGAACCCAGAAGTGTTTGTTGGGAGATGTTGATTAGAAATGGGTCTGGCTGTGTCCCTTGACAAGGAGCCCACAGGACTTGGCAACTTGCTGGCTGGCCTGATTTGTTCTGCTACTGAAGGTTATGCTCTGGGAGTACAGAGAGGGGAAAGACAAGAGCGTTACTAAAAATTGAAATTCTCACAAAATACTCTCAAAATAAACAAGTATATTTGCTAATTTCCAGTGCTTCATGTGCAAGGTGGATGCAATCTTGATAAAGACTCGGATTTATATCAAATGAATGAGGATTAAATCAGTGAAATCAAGGACAGAAAAATAGTTGTGAGAAAAGCCCTTTGAAAGGAGTCAAATCCTACACATGGACACAATGTAGAGCGGACGAGGGATTTTTCAATACAAGACAACTTTGTATTATGAATTTTCTGTTGGAATTTATCAAGCCTTTAGCAACAGTACAGACTTATTACAACTCAGCTTCCTTTAGGGAAGTACCAGTTTTTCTAATTTTGTTATGATGTGGCTGTATGATTTCACATCTAGAAATGCAAGGCAAAGAAATACCCTGGACCATTTTTCTCAAGTCTCAGCTTGCTTTTTATTTTGAGGCTCAGCATTGTTGTTCGAGAGCCACTCTGATCTTATACTTGGTTTAAACAGGCAGAAACAGTTGCTGAAGACCGAGAGCCAGAGAGCTTGATCCTGCCACCTAATGGCTGTGCGACCATGCACACAACTTTTTGGGCTTCAATTTTATCTTTAATACACAAGATTGTCCCTAAAGTGCTTGACAGTGCCTGACCCACCTTGGGTTAAAAACACTATTTAAGTCTTGACATTTTTATCACTCTTGTTTTCTAGTTCCAGTGCTGGAAGCCGGGACCCAGTACTGTCAGAGCCAAGACCCTACCCCATATCCCAGTTGCAAGCACAGCATCCACCTATTGCTACCTATGCCCAACGGACTGGCACACTCTGTCCTAAGGACACTCCTAGAATCTCGGTTCTCACAAGGTTTGGGGCCACCAGTTAGTGATGCCTGCTGTGAGCCAGAAACTGTGCTGTATGTATCTCATAGTTCATCCCTAATTCTTACAGTCAAAAACAGAGAAAAGTATCTGTATCTTTCATCTTACAGGTAAGGGAACCGTACCAAGGTCACATAGCTAGGACAGGACACCAGGTCCACTGATCCCCAAAGTCAGTCCTTTCCACGGTCCCATGCTTCCCAAACACTGTTCTGAGCAACTGTCACATTAAGTCCCCTGAGGAACGTTAGGACACAGATTCCCAGAGCATGCATGTTGAGGCCGAGCTTCTCACTGAGCAGCCCCTGAGGGATGCGGGTCCGGCCCCCCAACACGCACCTTAGCCCACTTCAACTCTCCCCCACTGCCAGGCCCTAGGACTCACAGGGGTGCTCAGATCTGGGGCTGCCCGCTCCCCAGCTCAACCCCCCGCCATTAAGTACATACACCACCAACCTTTGCAGGCCTCCCAAATCATACTGTCCCTTCCCCAAGCTCAGCAGATGCCACCCCACAACAGATTGCACAGGCTTGCCCTCACTACACCCACAGCATACCTCTGGGCCCTCTGCCCACACCTGCCTGCGGGCTGTCCTCCCCCTCAGCCCTGGCCAGACTACAGCTTTTGTTTTGGGGGATTTATTTCAGGGATGCCAGAGACCAGTGCCTCTCACACACAGAGTAGGCTTGAGGGGCTCACTAGAAATGCAAATCCCAAGACCCCTCCCTCAAAGGCTCTGAACCTACAGCGTAGGGGTGGGGCCTGGACACCAGCATTGTCCGCAAATGCCACAGGGAATCCTGTGGACTGTGCTCTGAGGAGCAATACCATGAGAGCCAGCAGGAATTAGTGACCAAAGACTGATTCTCCCTTGGTCCTTTCATATTTTTCCCCATCCCCAGTAAATAAATTGGTATTAGACCATGCTGGCCTGAAACTTGTCAAATTAATATTCTGAATCTGTTTTTATTATATCCATTTAGGGACCCCAGAAGGAATATAAATCACATGTAAACAGCATGAGAGTTTTGCAGTGATATATAAAAAAAAAAACAGAGAAAGAATGCCAACTGCCTGAGATCTGGTGTGTTATTTCCATCCCAGGTGCCTCTGCAAAAATGTCGTGAACCAGCAGTGACAGATTTGCAATTCCAAAAGCACATGTGGGAAAGACCACTTGGGGCAAAGGTCCTGGGACTGGCTTTGTGGGAAGAAACAGATCTTTGTCGAAACTCATTCCACTTATCTGGAATTAGTCAAATGAACTACTACTCATGGCAAGCACGGCGGACCGAGCAAGAGTCACTATCCAGAGGGTGGGGGTTTTTCTTGTTCGTTGAGAAATGCCAAGTTATTTTTTTCAGCAGAGCGTTTTCTAGAGAACACCACTATCAATCACTCTCGATGCTATGGGCAGACTTGCTAGCCCCAAGAAGGTATATGGACGCCCTAACCCCCAGGACCTCAGAACTTGACCTTATTTGGAAATACAGTCTTTGCAGAGGGAATCGAGTTAAGATGAGTTCATCAGGCTGGGCTCTAATCCAAGATGACTGGTGACCTCATAAAAAGGGGAAGTTTGGGCGCAGAGACAGCCACACGCAGGGGGAGGTGGTGTGCACACACAGGGAGGGTGCTCTCTGCAAGCCAAACGCCTGAGCCGAGCAGCAGCCAGGACAGAGACCTGCAGCAGGTTCTCCCTTGCAGCCCTGGAAGGAACCAACCCTGATTTGGGGGTTTCTAGCCTCCAGAACCGTGAGACAAGTTTCTTTGTTTAAGCCACCCAAATTCATCGTATGTTATTATGATGGCCCCAGAAACTAATACAGTCAACCACGTTAGCACTCCTGGTGTTTATCAACTAAACAGCAGTACTAAACAACCACAAGAACAACCACGGACTGAGGGTTGAAGCAAGCACTTTACAAGCAGTACCTCGTCAATTCCCACAGCCAGCGGTGCAGCACGATTATTCTCCCCATTTCACAGGTGAAGAAACTGAGGCTTGAAGAGGATCAAAGAGTGTGTCCAAATTATCCCAGAATATCAACATCAGGGCTTGGATTGGAAGGCACAATGGGCAGTGGAAGAGTCTGGGGCTCCAAGGACACAAGTCAAGGTCACACACACACACACACCGAGTCGCCTGCAGAGCTGAGAACGGCCAGGCTGGGCTTTGTTCACCCGTCATCAACAAGCATTCTGTGGGATCTCTGGTGCTGAGGGTAGAAGAGAAAGGATATGGTCCCCATTCTCGAGAGCCTCCCCATCATGGGAGAGTCAGAGGGGGGCAGGGCAGTGCGTCACACCACGCGGAGATGACCCTCTTAGTTAGGAATAAGGTCATCTTTCATTTATTGGCTACTCGCCCGTGGCTTTGTGCCGAGGACTATGCTAAGTTCATCATGTGCTTTCCATCTTTCTAAGGGGACAACAAGCATACGGGCAAGGACTACTGTGACATGCATCGTACAGCACACAGGACTGATGCTGACTAGGTCAGACAGAGGACCTAGGGGCACAGATAACAGGCTCTCCCAGAGTTCACCATGGGCTGGCATGTGCTGAAACAGCATCCGAGAGGTCGAGGGCAGGAGAGGGTCCAGAGAAGCAAGGCCTGCATGCTGGGGGATGAGGGTAAGCAGAGGCCTGGAGGAAGGGGTGGCTCTGTGCACTTGGGCAGCAACGAAGCATCTGCCTACAACAGGGAATCCAAGAAGGGGCTACTATGGCAGATTCCATGGGGTGCCAAGGGCAGTGAGTCTGAATGTCCTGCTCAGGGACCGGAATATTCCTGAGCCAAGGGAGTGTTGAAGGTTGTTCAAGCGAGCAGGGCAATGTGCCATGAAGAGCAAGGATCTGGAAAGATCTCCCTGGTGGCGATAAGCACCCTGGTCTCTAAGATAAAAAAGTCTAAGGACAATGAAACTGGCTAGACGTTTTCATATGTGTGTGTTTGGTAATAGTCCAGAGGCGAGGCAGGCCTGGACAGAGGCGGTGGCTGTGGGATTGGAAGAGAAGGAGGGACGCAAGAGCCTTGCACAGGGGCACCAGCAGTGCCTTTCCTGTCAGGTTAGAAGGAGAGGAGGCGGGGCTGGGATGGCGACTCCAGGGAGGCAGGTTCTGGACTGGAACTCTTTCCAGCACCCTACAACTGCTGTGTAATTAGGACAAATGAAAATCTTTTTTCAAACCCATTTGCCTTTCTAATGTGGTGGTGGGACATATAGCCAAGTGGTTCAAAAGCACACAGTCCCGGGTCAGAGGGCCCCAGGTTCAAATCCTGGCTCTCCCACTTTCTGTTACCTGAGGGCAAGCTACTAACCCCTGTGAGCCTCAGTTTTCTTATCTGTAAAATGCTTAGGATAATAACCCTTCTGTCAGAGAGACACTGTGAGGATGTGATGAGCTAACCATGTAACGTGCTTAGCACAGTGCCTGGCACAGATGTAATCGATGCAAATCTCACATTATCATCTTGCTGTCATTATGATCATTATCTGACTGAGTGCTGACAATTAACATGCAGCCAGGATCTCAGCTTGAGCCCAGCATGCTCTGCATGAGATCAGGGGCCCATCTGGGCTGGGCAGGGGAACAACGTGCGGAGAAAAACAAACTGGCATTTAGTTCCTCATGAAAATGTCCCAGTGCTAATCTCAAGCATTTTCCTCCAACTCTTACATTTTATTAGCCTCTGAGTCCATGCTGTTTGATTCAGAATCATTGCCTGGTAAACACTTGTTCATACCCAAATATCACAGAGATCAAAGTTACAAATAATATAATAATCAAATGATGTCATGTTTCCCAAAATGTGTTCTGTCAGATATTAAGCCTTCACTCTGCTCATTTAAGGGAAAAGAGGAACTCCAAGAGTTTAGGGAACATTACATAACCTCTTCACCATTCTGTTTTGCAGATTCATGCTGCACATTGCTATATTAAAGGCTGTGAGAAGACATGAATGAAAACCTACGTAACATCACGAGACACCACTACATACCCATCAGTAGGGCTACAATCAATAATTAACAGACAATAACAAGTGTTGACTAGGATGTGATGGACTGGAGCCCTCATACATTGCTGGGAGGAAT